TCATCCTGAGTTGGCTACTTCATACAACAACATCGGTTTGGTGCATAAAAAGATCGGAGAGTATTCGAAAGCATTTTCATTTTACGAAAAAGCACTTGAAATTCGACAAATATCTCTTCCTTCAGATCATCCTGACTTGGCAACCTCATACAACAATATCGGTTTTGTGTATCGCAATATGAAAGACTATTCAAAAGCACTCTCATATTTTGAACGTGCTCTAGACATATGGCACCGTGCATTACCTGCTACTCATCCTGATATTAAAGACGTGAAAGAAAGTATTGAAACTGTAAGAAAAGAAATTACAAAAAAATAGTTCATAAATAAATAAAAGAATGTATTTGTTCACTTAATTTTGAATTAATTCTATTGCTTAGTGACTGGCGCGCGCACAGAGAACAACTCTGTAAATAATAAAAGTGTAATAAACAAAGCCGACTGATAAGTTAATACGTATATGTAGAAACGACCTTCTCAGACATATTTGCATTTCCGATTCTTTACGAGTGTTCCCTGTAATAAAAAAAGAAGAAGGAAAATATGACCGTAAGTAGTAGTCGTGGAGTAAAATAATCTAAAAAAGAATAATTTACATGAAATTGTAAGTGTTGAACGAGGCCTCATATCATGAAGAAAAAGTTAAGAAACCTACGATATATATATATATCGATATACCACCAACGCATGGTCAAATTAAACCAAGGTGTGGGTATATCTATATTCTCTTAATTCACACCCACCCAACTTTTCTTCCAGTAATAATGTTTATTTTTATACATTTTTTTCAATATTCTAGTAGAAAAATCGCTAAACTTCAACGAATAAATCATTTTGAATTTCTTCGTTCACTATAGCTTTTTATTTTATATCAACTAAAAAGATAAAAAAATGAAACTTTTATCTGTGCGATGAACGAGTATAAAGCACTTCATATTATCGTCACTGTTATAATATACAATATGTAATGAAAATGGGCAGAGAAAGAAAAAAAATAAAAGTTTACATTAATCACATGGAATATTTTATTTTCTGCATACACTTGAAATGATTAACATACCGTTTGGTCGATCAAAGGCAATTTTGATAAATAATTATTCAGTAGGAAAAAATTGCAGACGTCCATGATGACTCATTCTATAACTGGGTTTTTTCCCATTGTGGGAGATGAATATATAGACTATATATATATATATATATTTATGTAAACAGATTTCTTTAGATATTTAACTATTCAATGGGTATTCGAGGTTTAGAAACATTTATTAGAAAGACGTTCGACGAAGTCGAAAAAATTAAATTTCATAATTGCAATGTTGTAATCGATGGTGATTCAATTTATCATCAGATGTATCAAGAATGTGAATTAACATGTGTGTTTGCTGGAGAATACGATCAATTTTATCAATCTTGTATACAATTGTTTGAATCATTTGAAAAATGCCAAATCAAGTCAGTAGGAATATATCCTTTTGCATTTCCTTTTTATATTGTTTTTTTTACAGTGCATTCGTAGTCTTTGATGGAGCACAACTTGATAGTCGAAAAGAATCAACAATGATAAAGAGAGCTGAAGATAGTATTGTAAAATCAACGACTGATGATTCAATAGTTTCCATTACTCCCAGATTACTTCATCAAACGTTCATCAGTGTACTTGATGCAATGCAAGTTCCATATATTTCAGCACTCGGCGAAGCCGACGATGAATGTGTCTCACTAGCAAATCATTTTAACTGTTACTTAATGGCTACTGATAGTGATTATTTTTGCTATAATCTTCATCGTGGCTACATACCATTTGAATCTCTTGATATTAATCCGAAAAAAAGACATGGATATATTTATCTAACTGCACAACTATATCATATTGATTCATTACTTGAAAAATTCGAAGGTTTACAACCGAAAACTTTAGCTTTGGCGTGCTGTCTTTGTGGTAATGATTATATTGACAGAGATTCAACTATAAAAATAATTAGATATATGAATAATAATGTGGAAACATCGAAAAACGTACATAATGGTCAATCAAAACAAACACAAAATCTTTGGAATGCTATGGAATGGATGCGAAAAAAGACTGACGTAGATGAAGCACTTGGTGACTTATTGATAGAAGTTCATTTGAATTCAAATAATGAATTAAGAATAAAAATCGAAGAAGCAGTATTATGTTATTTGGAACCATCCGATACGTTAATCTATCGATTTAATTCATCAAATAATGCTAACCCAAATCTACTCAAAAATCCTGTTTTTGTTCAACTTGCTCAATCCTATCTTGATAAACTTGATATGGTAATAAGATATTTGTTCTTCCACAGAATGCATTTTTTTTGCTTTAGAATGATAATCAGAGAGAAGATTCTATCAATGAAATTTCACAGAATATTAAAAGTAAATGCAATCATTCGTTACCTTTATTTCTTGCTGATACTATAACTGATCTTCGTCTATCATCATCATTTATTGAAATTTTTATTCGTCGTCAATTAATCTGTAAAGCACTTATCGAAGTTAAAGAGAAACCATCAATCTTTACTTACGCTATTCCCATTGTGTTACCATGTTTTACTATATTACTCAAATGGGATAAAGATCAGAATGATTCTTCCGTCGTTTTTCATCATCGTAAAGTTGATAAATTAGAAAAAGATAAATATTCGATCAATATTCATGCTGATGATATTCCTGAACTTGAACAGATTTGGACAACAATGTCAATTTATGAACGTCAAGGCTTTGTAAGAAAATATCTAGAAATACCTGATGAATTTGTTCAACGCTTAGAAAATATTCCTTCAGATTTTCATTTGTGGTTAATGATTATTTATTATTGGTACATTCGATGCAAAATTTCACCCGTATATCTTTATGCGGTATTTTTTTGTTTCATTAAATGTATTTCTCTACGAAATGATCCAGAATCAATGACAGAACAATTCAATGCTTTATTAACTACTTTTAATATTAACAGTTCTCGTCAATCAATGGATTTATCTAAACATGAAAAAATTTTTGAAAAATTCGAAGAACTAGCTGAGAAGGATTCAACAAAAACAAATTTTAATAAACGAACAACTTATGAATTGAACTGTCTTCAAGTGATCTACTTATTTAGTTTACGATTGAACGACTTTTTCAATACACCATTTCGTTATTCAATTTATCCACAAGATTTTATTTCTGGATCATTATTCTATGGTTTTGTAAAATATTGTCAAGAGAAACATTATGTACTCAATATGAACAATTCTATGGATGCTCTTTTTGGAAACAAAACATATCTTGTTGATCTTTTACATAGTCTATACAATCTTATTACATCAGCTAACGTAGAAAAGGATGGTTAAAGTTAAGTCCATGAAAAGACAAATACATATTCACATTTCTATTTTGTTTATTATAATTGATGTTCATTGTTTCAACTCTTCACAAATAAATTTCCATTTGAATTTTTATGACATATGTATTCGTTCTCAAAATATTACAATAGAATCTGTATTCTTATAATGTATATCAGGATGATAATACGCCTTGATTCGAACTATAAAAAGTGCAGCAAATAGATTTTCGTATTCATTCCAATTATTTCATTTCAATTGATTTTCAAAATATACTAAAAACAATGAAAGCTGCTCTTGCACTCATCTTCTTCACCTGCATTGCTGGTTCAAATCTTGGGCTATCTTGTTTCACAAGAACACGTTATTATGCAATCAAACCAATGGTTAGTAACGCCATCAACAATCTTCTTGGTAATCTTTTCGGTCATCTTCCATCAATCTTCAGTTCATTTCTTAGTAAAATGTCAAAACCACTCACTGAAATGGATCACCATCTTTTAAACCACGGCATATCAACTGTTATGAGTTCATTAGTTGGATCACGTTTTATTGGTGATTTCATGAATAAAAATGAAAGAGATTTTGATTTTGTTATTTAGAAATTACAAGTCAATTGGCTAATGTTGTCTCAGTTGCTCAAGGTGTTATCTCAACCACTATTGCAAATCTTACCAGTGTTGCTTCAAAGTTTATGTTAAAAAGACATGTATAAAAATAAATTCTTGAAACAAAAAACATTTTATTTTAGAATTATATTTGATTTGCAATGAATTAGCCAAACGATGAAAAGATGATGTCGAATGACTTTCTATAAGAGATAGTTTTCATATCTTATTGTCAGGTATAACTTTTTTTCTTCATGATCGCATTAAAAAATAGATAGAAGCGTCATCTACATATCATACATCTCCAATATTTATCATATATAGCATTCAAATTCAGATGTTTATTCGTTTTTCAAGTCGTTGTCGATGTTTCTATTCGACATTGATTGATATTAATAATCAATTAAAACAATTAAATATGAATAAACAATATAAAAAAGTGATTGATTTATTTGATAATTATATTCAAAAAAATAATTCAAATGATCTTTGTCATTAATCAAACACTTAAAGCTTGTATTGAATTAGGTGATATAAAACGAGGATCATTTATTTATCAACATTTATCATCTCAATCAAAACAAAATCATTTTATTCAAACAAATCTCATTCGTCTCTTTAGTAAGATTTATTCTCTTTAATCATTTATCAAACTATTTTATTTCTTATAATTTTAGTGAAATCTGGTGTTATAAATAAAGCAAAAGAAATCTTTAATAAAAGTCAAAATAAAACTCTTTTTATGTACAATACAATGATCAATGGTTATAATATTTATTCATCTAATTTAATATAAATAATATTCTTTAGGTCTTTCAAATAATAATCATAGTAAAGAACAATAAATCTCTTTCGAGAAATGTCAATTCCACCTAATGAATATACATATACAATATTATTTAAAACATGTTCACAATTAAATGATTCTCAATCCATTGAATTTGGAAAAGATTTATTTGAAAATCTTCCTATTCATATCAAAATTATCGAATTATTCTTAATTCAGCATTACATATGTTAATGCAACATGGAAATATTAAATTAGGTAAAAAACTTTTCTCTAAAATCAACAAAGATACAACAAGTTATGGTGTTATGATGTCAGGTTATTTGAAAAATAAACAAATAGAAAAAACAATTGATTTATTTTTTCAAATTAATAAACCAAATGATATAAATTTAATTATATTTTTTAATGCATGTGCTGAATTAGGTAATGAAAAAGTACTTCACTCGATATTAAATATGTTTAGTAAATATTTAGATATTGAAAGTACAAAAAAATTATTTTCTCAATTAAATCGAAATGAAATGACATATGGATTAATGATGAATATGTATAATAATCGAAATAAACCAAAAGAAACTTTAAATTTATATGAAGAAATGAAACGAGAAAAAATTCAACCAAATAAACAAATTAGTATTTTAATTCTTAATGCTTTTTTTCAATTAAATTATTTTATTAAAGCAGAAGAATTCTTCAATCAAATTCCAAATAAATCATCAATGATTTATGATATTGTACTCAATGGTTTAGCTAATCATAATCGTGCGAAACAAGCATTTGATCTTTTTCAACAAATGTCTATTCCACCAAATGAATATACATTAAGTATTTTATTTAAAATTTGTTCACAATTAAATAATACAAAATCATTGGAATTTGCAAAAAAAATCTTAAACGCAATGCCTGAAAAATATCAATGGAATACAATTATTCTTAATTCAGCATTACATATGTTAATGCACCATGGAGATATTTTATTAGCTGAAAAGATTTTTTCACAAATGAATAAAGATACAATTAGTTATGGTGTAATGATGTCAGGTTATTTGAAAAATAATCGACCTGAAGAAGTCATTGATATTTTTATGAAATTAAATAATCAAATGGATGAAATTAATCTATTAATATTTTTCAGTGCATGTGCTGAATTAGGTAATGAAAAGGGATTAAAATTAGGTAAACACATCTATTCAAAATTATTATCAAATAGAAAATTACTTAGTGAAAAAGTAATTCATTCGATATTGAATATGTTTAGTAAATGTTCAGATATTGAAAATGCTGAAAAATTATTTAAGAAATTAAATAAAAATACGATTAGTTATGGATGTATGATGGCAATGTATAATATTCAAAATGAACCTGAGAAAACTTTAAATTTATATGAAGAAATGAAACGAGATAAAATTGAAATTGATAATCTTACTTGGATTTTAATTATTAATGCATTAGCAGAATTAGCTGATCTTTCAACATGTGAATCGATTAGTTCAGAATTACCTGACAAATTCTACAATGATATTCAAATTCAAAATGCCTTGATTAATATGTGGGTATGTATAGAAGAATAATTAATAAATTCTTCCTATTGAATATATATATTTAGGGGAAAGCGAGTTCAGCTGATCGAGCAAAAAAGATTTTTGATCAAATTATAAAACCAAATAATATGTCATATTCAACTATGAGTATGTTTCTTGTTTTTTTCTAAAGAAAATCAGAATGAACTTTTTTCTTTTCTTCAGTTAATGCATATGGTCTAAATGGATTAGGTAGAGAAGCTGTTCAACTCTATTATAAAATTGCATATGAAATCATTGATGATATTATTAATTTATGTGTGTTGAATGCATGTTCACATGTAAGTCTAATTAATGAAGCTCAAGAGATTTTTAAAAATATTTCCATCGATAAAAGAACAGAAAAAATTTATACAACAATGGTAATATCTTTTATTCTAATCTATATATATTTTCTTATTTTAATATATAGATTGATTGTTTTAGTCGTTCAAATTCAATGAATGAAGCTGAAGAATTAATTAATGAATATGAACAATCACATTTACCATCCTATTCAATGTACAGTAAGTTTATTTCTATTAACAAAATTAAAACATTATTGTTATTATCATCACCTAGTGTCAATTTTGTCAGCTGCACGTAATCAACGAAATTCATTATTAGCACAGAAAATGTATGATCGTATTGAACCTTATTTAAAAGATCAAGAAATCTATGCTACATCAGCTAAAGTCTTGTTAGCAAATACATATGCATTAGCAGGTGATTTAACAACAGTATCAAACATTCGAATGAAAATGAATCAATCAGGTTTGAAAAAATTGGCCGGTCTTTCTTGGACAGTAGTGGTTAGTAGAAAGAAAGGAAGTAATAGTGGAAAATTTGTTTTTATTTTATTTAGAAATTTCGTGTACATGATCGATCACATCCACAATCGAATGAAATCTGCGAAGAATTAGAACGTTTAACAAATGAATTAAAACAACATGGATATCAATGTGATGCATCATGGATTAGTCAACCATTGACAAATAATGAAAAATCTTTGTGTGTGCGGTGACTGTCGTAAGTAAGCGTTTAAGAATAAGTTGTTTCCGAATTATCTTTTATAGATACTTTTAGTAAGTGGGTTGCTCAAGTTCGTCAATGTACAATTATTGTACGAGATGTTAATCATACACATCATTTCTATCCCGATGGTCATTATTCTTGTGGAGATTTCTTTTAATTAAATAGGAAAAAAAAATCTAATTCACTATACTAGATGATAATACGAAAATGAACCACATGTTTTACATTGTAATAGAAGAGAAAGTTATACATCTGAATTTACTAGAATGTGGAATCAATATTTATTATGCAAAATTGTGCTGAGTATATTTTAGAAAATAAAGCGAAGAAACATTGAGATGAACAAAATAATCTTCACCATCAACGATGACTTGGGTACAATTCATTTATATCTTGATGGTGTGGGTGTAAATCAGAAGAGTAGACCCATCCACATCTACACTCACACTCTCACCCACACCCTGCCGATGATAAATAGCAAGCAACTATGAACAGAATTTTTAATATTAACTTCATTTTAATGCTGCAACTCTAGAAAATATTACATTTTATATATACACTTTATTTCTTGATGAATGTTGACATCATAAGATATATGTTATTTTTAATATTCATTTCATTTATGTAAGTATCTCTATCATTGTCTGAAGTATTTGTATGATATTAGTTTTCAAGATTGAAATGAGTTTTTCACAATAGTAACAATCATGCCTCTGTATTTTTATTATGCGCCAACAAAAACAAAACTAGAGTATGAGAGCGACTCTCTTTAAGTTGTATCTTTATTCGAATGAATAACGAAAACAGCCAAAAGAAAGAAGAAACAAAAGAATGTGAATAACGAGAAATCAGATATGATGTGAGAGAATGTGTGAAGGCATATAACGATATGACTGTAACATAGAGTAATCACGAAAATAAATATATATTTCATTTTTATACCTGAAAAAACAAACAGTTGCATAACAGTATCACATGCTATTAAACTCTGATGAGTAATATGTTTGAAATATGATACTGGTCACACTTTATTCAATATGTTCTCTTCCTTTTTTTCTTAATTAATTCGTGTGAAAAATGATCAAATCAGTTGGAAATAAACATAAATATCACCAACACTTCTGCTATATATTAGACATGCACAGCAGAAACATTTTTTATTTAAATATTTGATATTTTTCGAAAAGAAAAATGATGCTTTCGAACAATAAGCAATCTCACAATGATCATTCAATGAAAAATAAAAAAATAGTTAGTCGTCCTATGCGACCATTGATTGTTCCAAAACAACGCTTAGCAAACTTTGTGGATTTGCGTCAATGGATGCCACCTATTGATAATCAACAAGATATGAAAACTTGGTATAGATTAATTGATTCATTATATAGCTATGTTTATTTATTTGATTATAGTTGTGCTAGTGCATTTGCAGGAATTTGCAATTATTTATTTAAACGTTCAATGGGTCGTCAGAGTAATGTATCTCGTTTATTTATTTATTATAATGGTCGAATGATTCAACAACGTACATTAGAAGTTGAAGATAGAGGAGTTTTTCCAAAAAATATTGCTTTAGGCTTAAGAAAATATGGAGTTTGTGAAGAAAAATATTGGCCATATGAAAAACATTTATTAAATGAATTACCACCAGATTCGGTATATGAACGTGCAAGTCGCTATACTGTTATCCCACTTCATATGATATGTGATATAAACGCTATTGAAATATGTTTACATAATCAGTTACCAGTTCTTATTGGTATTAGATTAATTCAACAAAATATTCAACGTAATGGTGGTTATTTACAGGTTCCTGCTGATCTAAATGATTCATTAATTAAAAAAACTGGTATGCATGGTATTATAATTGTTGGATATAATAGAAAAACACAATATTTTATTTGTAGAAATTCTTATGGAGAAAACTGGGTAAAAAAAAACAAATCTTTTCTTTTTATTTCTCCATAATTTTAGGGATATCATGGTTATTTTTATCTACCATATGAGTATCTAACTCATCCTCGTCTTATTGATTATATGCGTGGTTTATGGTCGATTTTAAAAATAATACCACGTACAACTACATTACCTACTGTACGTCGATTAGTTGTATCTTAAACTAAATTTGATGACATTATTTTAAGATTATTTTCACTTTTTCTTTTCATACAATGAATTACATAAATGCTTTTAATAATAAAAAATATAGAAAATCAAATTAATACTCTCGTTAGCTTGAGAGTGTAGGTGGGACGATGTTTTAGATGGAGATTGACAGTCGTACGATCCATCCACACTCACCCCCAAGATGTTGCAAGTGTTTCTGTGTATTTTCAATTCATATTGAGCGGTGATAGATTCTGATGAAATTTTGTTGACTTTTTCGTGATCTTCAAATGAAAATTATATGTTACTTTTTTTCTCATTTTATGATCGATATTAGATTACATATTGAAAAATAACCTTTTTTGATTGCTCTCTTGTAATTGATGTATTTTTTCAAAAGGTCTTCATCATCTTTTTAATCAATAAAATGTAATAGATACTTATTATAGAATAGAAAAAAAGCTAGTCATACCAATTTCAAAAGTAAAACCATTTTGAGGGTGTGGGTGTGGGTGTGAGTATATGTGTCTTCTTTTAATCTGCACTCACACCCACACCCTCAAGAGTATCTGTTTTTCAAATATACTGAATTAATAACGCCTACCTTTTGCTATGATCAAGTAAATTTTTGATTACTTCATCCGAACGATTTGAAAAAGAACTCTTATCATTTTGACTAGTAAATCAACAATGTTGTTCATTTTCTATGAAACTCTGTCTATATCGAATAAATTTGTTCTTATCGATCATATTCTTCATAATATATAATTATATGTAACTTTCTTATTTTCGAAAATTGCACATATGGAGAAAATAAAGAATAGAATGAAGAAAAGAAAAAATATATCTGTATATATGGTCCATTATAACAATTTCTTTCTGTTCTATTATCATCGAACATATAATTCTTTCTAGTCTTTATTCGCGCTTTTTCATTTGTACTTGATTTTTGAGATTAAAGTGCATAATCAAATAACTCCATATGGAACAAATAAAACGGCAACGGAAGATTAGTACCGACGATTCTGATGATATGAAAAGAAAACAGTTTCATAGTACACATCAATCTGTCAGTTCTTTCGAAGATTTATCTAATGAAATTATCTGTGAAATATTTGAATATTTTGATTTTGATTATATCTATGAAATTTTTTCGAATTTTAATCAACGATTTGTAAATCTTATTATTAATTCAAATCTTCCGATTAAAATCAATATTTTATCTGTATCAAAACCAAATTTTGAACGTTATTATACAGATATAATTATACCTAATCGACATCGAATAAAATCACTTCGTATAACAAATATATTTGCTGTCAATACCATTTTGTCACCACAAGACAATATATCAAAATTAACTCGACTTGAAACACTTATTTTAACTAATATTTCATCATCGTATCTTCGTAATCTTCAATATTTGATTAATCTACCAAAGTTATCTTCATTAACCATCATTTATAAGGGTTATACTAAATTTAATCGAGCTAAAATTTATCATCAAATATTTCAACTACCAGTTTTAAAGTATTCTAATGTATTATTGGGAGTGGAATCTACGCCTATAGTATCATCATTGTCATTTGCTACCAATAAATATAGTTCAATTGAACATCTCGTTATTAAAAATCATATTGAACTTGATAAACTTTATATTATATTGTCACATGTTCCTCAAATTCGTCGTTTATCGATTTCTATGTTACCTGAACCTAAAAAAAAACGAAATATAACGTTTTCGATTACATTGAACAATTTAACATATATATCTCTTAAATTTCAGTCTTTCCATTTTCATGATTTTGAACTATTGGCCAAAGATCTCCTTTATAATCTTCAAGTATTACGTCTCTATACTAGTAAAGAAATAACATATTTAGATGCAAATCGATGGAAAAATTTAATCTTGTCTCATATACCAAATTTAACAATATTCGATTTCCAATATATGTATTTTGCAGATTATGAAGACAATATGATATCTAGTTATGAAAATCTAATAAAAAACTTTACTACTTCATTTTGGACCGAACGACAATGGTTTTTTTCTACTCAACATTCTCTTGGATTCGATGCAGATGATTTTCTTTTCTTTTCAGTGAAACCATATAAGTATAAGATAAATTTATTTATAAAGTATAATCTATCTTTGATATTTTTAGAAGAACAACATTTGTATTAGGTGGAGCAATTGAAGAAAAACTAAACTTTGATTCTGTTCATCATATTCAGATATGTAACGATGCATCCACAATCAACAAGTGTAGAAATTATTTTCCAAATACTACGAAATTAAGTTTCACACATTATTCGGCTCCAACTGGCAATTTTATAGATAACAGTTTACCGTATATTATTTCTTTAGAACAACTTACTGAAATAGTTGTTGAAGATGTACCTATATCTTTTATGGAATTAGTTAAATTATTAAGTGTTGCAGTAAATCTTCATAGATTAGAATTTGATTCTATATCAAATAATGAATTAAATCCTGTCGCAATTCAGCAAAATGTAATTTTTCAGTTGGTATCCAAGACAAATGTTGTTAAAGATCTGACATTGGTAAATGACAATTGTTCATTGGAAAAAGCTGAATTATTATTTGCCTTATGTCCACGATTACAACATTTTGAATTATATGATGGTTGCATTCCTTTTATAATAAGTCTAATGAAATTAATTTTGTCAAAAACTAATAA